TTTAAGGTACATTTTTAATTTAAATGGGCTGAAATTGGTCAGTTGGTATTCTTAATGGATACGTGATGTCCTTGCGAAATTATGTTAATATCCACAATTTCATATGGCTACCATGGAACCCTACCCCTGATTTTATCTCATTGAATGTTTTTACGTATGTTTCCATTCGATTATGCTGAAATTTAGATTTCTTGTTTGGGATAGGATAACAAATTGATGTGCCAACAATTTTCAACATTAGACATGTTTCTAATATAGTTCCCATAGAGACCTATCCCCGATTTGAAGAATTTTTTTATTGTTCAACAGATTTTGATGAAAACTGAAAACAAAATATACCTTCCACCAAAAAAAAAAAAAAAATCAAAAAGCGACGTTTTGAAACTGTAGTGGGATAGATATATATGCAGCGAAACCAATTTTTCGTAATCTAAAAACTTTTTTAGTATTATGGGAAAAAAGTTTGAGAGTGCCAAGGAATGTCAACCTCTTTTGAGAGTATACTCCGAAATAGTTGACCAAATTTACCAAATTTTTATTTATTGGCATTCGAGAATGAGCTGCCCCGTTGGCTTACTCAATCCGAACTTACTCAGTGAGAGCATTTCTCCCCCTATACTTTTATTTGTCCATGTATCCACTTTTGTTCCGCCACCTATATTGAAATGACCACGATGCGTTCGTTAAAGTCTCTGGAGGAATGTAACTCGTTTTAGGACCAACTACTAGGCTGATTAAGAGCGACTGACAAATGTTCGCCAATGAAGGTAAGAATTTAAATATTGTTAAGTTGATGAAAATCAAACGAAAATACTGCTCGGCTCGCCCTCTACACTTCCTGCTGTGACAGAGCCATTTTACATAAATGCCCATCTAAGAGCCATTGCCGCATTATTGCAATGTCAAAGTTTAACACTTGAAACGATGGCTTTGCTACATTAACAAACAAACAACAACAACAACAAAAGCAATAACAACAAATGAAAAACCAAGCCTAACAAAAGACTCGCAAAGGGCTCATTATTTTATTCAGTCAAATATTTCAACGAATAAAAGCCCCGGCACACACACACACACATACATACATGCATGCAGAGAAGCAGCCGCACAATGGAAGCCACATCGAACAAAGCGCTAAATGGAAGGCTGAAAGGCACTGCTCGGCGTTGCACAAAAAATGGCGGTGCGAATTTCCTTTGGGAGCCAAATTTGAAATAAAAAATAACATCGGCCATTCAACGGCATGAACAACTCCGATGAAACTGAAAGGATCTGAAGGGTGCTTCAGAAAATCCAAACCGAGTTGTGCTGCCGGCAGTCGGCAGTCGGCATTCGCTGCTCGACACTCGATCTTAATGTTGCGATTTCAACTGTCATTAATTACAGTCAACTTTTGTCCAACTTTGTTTCGAGTACTTTAATTTCTGTTCATTTGTTGAGTACAACATTTGTGATTAATTAAATCCACGCGAGCGTCAATTGGAAGTCGAAACTTTTTTAAATTATTTTCCCAAGTACAGAATACAATAACAACAACCACAAACATAATTTGCTAATGTAGCAGCAAGTGTCTCCTGGACAAGTGTCCACAAAACAAGGAAAGCAATACTACCGAAAGTGTCTGCACGATTTGGAGGCTTTACAAATCAGCACTCCAGACAGATTAGTCTTAGCTGTAGGTAGAAGCTGCATTAACATATGTGGCAAAAGTGGCATTTTAAAGGCCAGCCTGCTCTTCGAGCAAATAATACTTTTCAGATATAACAAGTGAATATGTGGCTAAGTTCGCCCGGGGCAGATCTTCCATTTGGAAGGAAATTGCAAAATGTTAAAAAATGCCTCTTTAATTATTCCGAGTATCGAATGTGGACCTTAATGGGTAATTTTCTGTCATACAAACTAGTATCCATTATGAACACCAAATTCCTGCCTTAAAATAATTTCGTTGAATAATGTCGCTTAAATTATCGAAATATCGAATATACACGTGCCCATTGCGAACTCCAAATTATAAATTTGAATTAATTTCGGTAAAAATGTGGCTAAAATCGTAAAAACACCGAATATCGAGAAGTACAGTTGCTTGAGTGCGATACGAAAACGTGGACCTGTATAAATGATTTTCCGTCATAGAAGGGATCACCCATCACGAATTCCAAATACCAAATTCTGAAAAATTCTGATGAAAAATGTGGCACTACAATTTCCCACGTTTTGGGATTACTACAAATACCTGTCCATTTTACTATCTTTAATATTGTTACCCCTATCTTGGGGTGAAGAGACGTGAAGATAGGCGGACATCACTAAATCAATAAAGATTCAACTGGGACTTGCCTCTGCCATTCGGACGGGAGATGAACAGAAACTGCCTGGCGATTTAGAAATAAAAAAATAGTATTAGGGGGCATTGTTCGGCTGGAAGCTAACATTCCCTATGGCTTCGAAGTTTTGCAAATGACTGCGGCAGTAACAACAACTAGGGACGAGCATTGACTCGCCGGGCTGGTGGGTGTTGTGCCTGCTATGCCCCAGGGCTTTGGAGTGGATTTCGGCTCACTAGTGGAACACATCAACCAGATACGAGTTTATGAAAAAAGTTTCACAATGAAAACTGACGTACAATGAATGGCTCGAAAACAAACAGACTTGAAAGGCAATGGAACACCGAACAATTGATTAGAATTCAATTCAATTCAATTGAAAGTTGAGTTTAGTTCGTAGCCATCGATGGGGTTTTGTGTTCGCAGGGATTGTTTGGGTTTCTTCGTTCCATTATTTTGATTTTTCGATTATTGTTTTTTTACACAGTGGCGGTGAGTGGCAGGGCGTCGGGAGTGGGGGTGGTGGTGGAGAACGATGCTATTGTGTGCTCCCTTCACATTGTTCGTTATTCTTGGGGTTGTATGGAAACTTATTATCCCAACGTGCAATTGACAGGTGTATCTGTCAAAATGAAAGCGGGTTGCTTAGGCCATTGTTGATGCAGTGAATTTGCGTAATAATGTCTCTGTCGGTGTGTATGTGTGTCGCCACGATGTATGTACCTCGGCCATCTCGAAGCTTTCATTATAGTACTATGAAATTTCCATTTATCCGATCAATCAGACTCCATAATTTAAAAGGATGGTTATGCGCCATATTCGCTTACTTTCGCCGATAGAAAAATGTTCGTCTTGATAAACTATTGATTGTTGTTCCGTTCGACATTACCTGAGAAACATAACATAACATTTTCCCGGCATGTTATGATGACTTCTCACGTTGAGTTTTTTTGCGAATGAGGAGAATGGGGGGAAAATTATTGAAAACAAGCAAAGAAGCACGAGGCAAAACTAAATATTTAAAAGAAACGGGATTAAATATTCAAACAAGTTGAAACATGCCCGTAAAATCGGTACTGTTATATGAGGTCATACCATAAAGCGAAACAAGGGGGCTATACGAAAATGTGGACCAATGTGGTGGTTCATTTACGATTTTGACCTGCCTATCAACAAAATACACATCCACTGAGAACCTGAATTGACAAAACACCGTTTTTAACTTGAGAAATGGGTTAGACACTCGGCGGTTCATTATATGCAGGTTAAACAAAAACGCCGGTCGAAATTTTTGATGTTGAACAGCGTTGCCATGTTTGTTCGTGCCGTACCGTAGTATTTAGTTGTTGCAAATTAATTAGGCTTAGTTCCATTATTGTTGTTTTTATATGGGGATATTCTCCCCAGGAGTTATTTTAAAAAATAACTCCTATGGCAAAAAACTTTTTTTAAATAGATGTCCTGATTCATGCCAGAGTTAATTTTAACTAAAGGCATCCTTATTAAATAAACAAAATTTTTGTCGATTTTAGGGTGACAAGTGAAACAATACGCACAATTCATGATACACAAATTACAAGGCAGGCCAGGTTGATCAAATGTGAAAAATGCAGCACTGAAGCTAAAGCCTTGTATCTTGAAATTAACTAATAGCGAATGCAGCAAGCCGTTTTTTTTCATTTGACACTTTTTCACAATGTTTTAGTGTAAGAGAATATCGAGATATCGAATCTCCAATATGACTAACTTTTTTCATAAGTTCGCTGCCAAAACGCTGACATTTTCTTTCCAAAAGTTGTAAATTAGAATTTAAATAGAATTTGAAAATGAGAATTTTTAGATAAAATGTTTGCAAAATATCTACCATTTCGAATATTGCAATAATTTTCGTTAAAATTTTTTTTTTTTGTTTTCTTTTGTCAGTTTTTGTGCATTAATGCATTAATATTGTCACCGTGACTCAATGCCACTCGTCCAGGCTAGATGTGAGTGTGAAAATGTCGTCTTAGATTATTCAATGTTGACCATCCGCCCAACTCCGAGCTGCCTCTTTCAATGGCATCTTCACCTGTTCGGTGACACGATGCCATAAGAATGCAAGCAAACGGAGCAGTCTCGAGTCTCCGCCCCCAATTTATGGCAGCGGACAGGCAATTGATATGTTAATAATTGTTCGTAAGTGTGATTGTAATGTGAGTGCCTTTTTGCGGCGGCTGTGGGGATTTCCATCCGTTGTGGCATAAACTGACGTCTAGGATCCTTTATGAAGTGGTTGGACGTCCTTTTCTGTTTAATCACAGGCTGGGGTGAATGTTATATATGTGTGTATGTATGTTAAAATGTATCAATAAATACGAAGCAATGACAATGTCCTCATGTTTGACACAGAATTTGTGAAATTGTGTTTCAGTCCAGTGCTCCGTCTGATCCATTTTGAGTGGATTGGAATAAAAATAGAGAGTAAAAGTATCTAGAGGATTATCTTCTGAGGAGTTTGGGAATACGCTATATTTACCCGTTCTATTTGTCCCCATTGTGCCAATCGGTTCGCATTTGTAGTGTATTCTACGGCAATGTTTTGCCGGAGACTAGTTTCCACTATCCTGGAAATTCTTTAATACTGTAATAAGTTTGGCATCCTGTCTTACATTATTTTATTCTATTTGTTATCATTAGGTGCTGAATGGAAACTGCTGACGGAAGACGAAAAACGTCCCTTTATTGATGAAGCCAAGAGATTGCGGTAAGGCATGGGCCAGATGTAGAAAGTTCACGATTTCCAATTTTTATTTTTTATTTCTATTTTAGAGCAATGCACATGAAAGAACATCCAGACTATAAATACAGACCCCGAAGGAAACCCAAAGCGCTCCGGAGAGATGGCTATCCATATCCCATGCCATATCCATCGGTTCCCGTGGAGGCCCTTCGAGCTGGTAAGTTCATTTGATTTTGGACTGATGGTGTCATTGCAAATCATGGAATGGCCATAGCTGAATATTAAACAGGAAGGAGAAGTTTTAGGAAGATGGCACAAAGAAGAGCCCGAAACGGAAGCAAAGAAAATCCATATATCAATCGACTGGGCAGTTGACAAATAACTATCTGACACTGGGTTGTGAGTGGAACACGAATTGAATGGGGCAGACGACCGCTCCTTTTCCCTCCATTGACATTATATTATATTCGAAGTTGGCTCAACATACATTCTGTCTATTTCGTCTGCCCTAGTAGATGACTTGGCGCGAGCAAAGAGGATGACGATGTGTAATTAGCATTTTCCCAGCGTCAGCATTAAATCGAGTTACAGTTGTCGTTGCAAACTCTGGCATGTTAGTGTCCTGCTTCGGAACTATTGTGATTTGCATGAGTCCAACAATGCCATGGCCATAGCCATAGCCATGGCGACCAGACAAGAATGGATAGGCTGTTTTGTATTGTTTTGTTTTGGAAACTGACAAAAAAACACAAAAACTTTCTTAAGCAGTGAATACGAAATGTAGTCGCTGTTGGAAAGAAAAGAGCTGAATCACAAACACAATTAGATGAAGTCAGCGATTTATATTCAAACCATTTTCGGACGGCCCATTCTACATTTAATTGTTATCTTAAGAACCAATTTTCTGGACCGAGTGACTGAGTGGTAAAGACATAAACTATTGAACGCCTTCTTTCTTGCAGGAATTACTCCGAGTTATTTTGCGCCGGGACCAGCAGCGGCAGCGGCTTATCATTTGGGCAGCCATTTGACGCAAACCAACCCGCCAACATCACAGGTGAGTGCAAGTTGAAACAGTCAGGAGAAGGGTTACCGACATACCAATTATCTCAAGTGCTCTCTACGCCGTGGAAACTGTTTGGGCCAGAAGCGTTTCAGTTAGAGGAAACGCACAATTATTTCTGATGTACTCCGGTCTGGGATTTCTCCGTTGTGCCACGTTTTGTCCGGCCAACCAGGGACAGTTGAACGGTAGCAATACACCTCCACCTCCACTCACAACAACAACAACAACAGTAACCGTTCAAGAGTTGCCCATCGATCAGCAGAAGATACGTTTGAATGCTGCCTCATTGTCTCCTCTGTGTCCGCCTTTGTCCGCTAACGCACCTGCAAATTATTTCGATGATTGTTTAATAACATAATTTCCTACCCACTTTTTGACGCCCACTTAAACAGGCAGCCAGCCAGCCAGCAGAACCAGCCGCACCGGTTCATAGCTGCTCACGAACGTCACGGCTTTTATCCTCCAAGTGTTGATCGGCACTAAATTTCAGCGAGTCATCCAAGCTCACGATTGCTAACAAGAGTGTTTAGCCACTCATTGAGCTGGTAACACCTTGTTATTTTTCAATTATAACCATTTAAATAGACTCATGCACATGAACATGCCCCTTGCCACAGGGAGGGAGCATGCATGTGCACCATGCATGCATGCATGAACAAACATACACACACGCTCCAGCTCCTCTGTTTGATATCTACATGTGAATGTGTGGGTACTTTGATGCGACACCAACCATCCTTTTAGTCGTAATCCGAATGACACAAGTACGTGGAATTGGCGACTCTTCCTTCTTGTCGCATTGTCCTGACAGCCTAAAAGGATGTCAGCTGCCTTTCAAAGAAAAGCCTGGTGCTTTATAGCCGAAGCGTGAAAAATGAACTGAGTAGTACCTCCAATGCACCCGACTGTCAATTTGAACACGTCGCCTGCTTTGCTGCCACACACCTAGAGGAACCGTGTAAGAGCCCAACAGGCAGTGGCTGTCTCCATTGCAGCCAGCGCATACCGTATATACATATGTGTACAAGTATAGTTGTTCTGCAGCACTTTGTGGGGCGGTTGGAACTCCCGTGGCAAATAATCTTCATCGTAATGCCATAACGAGGACCCACTCTCCATGTACTTCGGGCGGGAGCTATTGGCACTCAGACAATGTGACAGCCTTGTTAATGCGGTGCATGGCGGCATATTCATTAGCAAGCTATTAAAATCCATGACTGTTGCTTGGCTGTGTTGGCCATGCCATGTGCAGAACAACAATGGGTCCTGAACATCCAAGACAAGGTTGCCGGGATCGGGAAGACTGCAACATGGGCTTCAGCTGGCCCGACGGGTTTCCTTGAGCGAAGCCGCCAGAGCCCAGCAAAACATTAGAGGTCACATTCGTCAGCCGCCAGTCAGCCGTCACCAGTCACCAGTCTCCAGTCTCCAGCGTGGTGTTTACATCAACACAATTAATTGATTACTGCAATCACAATATTTGTTGTTACAATTCCCAATTCCCAAACTGTTTCGAATTGTAATTGCGTGGATAAAAACAACATTGAACCGTATTAAGTGCGAGTGTGTGTGTGTTCGGCGTGCGAGTGTGGGACTGGCTGGGCGGATGTTGTGTCGTCGCGAGTGCAAACACACTGATGAAACCGGAGAAGATGATGATGTGTTAACAATGTAATTATAGCCTCGACACCCTTGCCCGGAGGAGGGTAGCGTTTTCTGCATGTTCACCAACATGTGAGAACGTTTCGTAAGAAGCCACCCCTGGCTGGGCTGCTTCGCTGTAGACACAGCCTTGATTTGGCAACGATGTCTGTGCCCGAGTGTTGTTGTAGCAGCGGACGCAAATAATAGGGGGAACAAACGTTTTAAATAAATGCGATTACATTGCAATAAAATTGTATTTGTGTTTATTCCCATTGTCCTCGGGTCTGTGTTAGAGAACCTGCTACGATTCGGATTGTTTGCCTTCCCACTTGAGTTTTTAATTGCGGCCAAAGGATTCAATCCCAGCAATGTTGTTTAGTGTTTGCGGATGGTGTGCTACGGGGCGGGTGACAAGACGACCAGGGGTGGTTGCCGGCTGCTCGGCGAAACTGTTTCCAAATCCTATTAAGTAGAGTGTCATCATGCACAATTAGAAACCGTGTCTGTCCGACCGCCAATATGGTCGGCCGCATTGTTAATTTCGAAATCCCCAAAATGTAAAACGATACCCATTGTCCGCGCCCGCTTCAATTGCCGCTTATGGCTTTCAATTATTTAAGCATGTTGTTTTATGCATTGATGCGAACAATGTGTTGTGTTGTTGGGCAAAGTTGAAACAGATTGTCGAATAGACGACTGTGCGCATTAACCCCGACTATGTGTATTAATCCCTTTCACATCTCTTTTTTGTCTTACAGAGCTCGATTTCGGCACAAATGGAGGTACCGAAATTCGCCTTGGATCGCAATTCGTATCTGGGCTCTGCTGCATCGGCTGGATCTTTGTATGAATCGTCTAAGGCCGCCCAGGCCAGTGCGGCTTACAGTGCCTACTTGGATCCCAGTGTCCTGACCAAGGCCTATTTTGACTCCAAAATGTATCAGGACCGAGCGGCCAATTATGCCTTTGACATATCGAAAATATACGGAGCTCAGCAGCACAACACATCGGCAGTAGCCGCGGCTGCGGTGCACCAGCATCACCAGCAACAGCAACACCTACTCAACGGCCTGGGTATTCCGAGTCCACACAGCAACAACAACAACAACGCTTCATCGAATAGCACGACCAACTTGGAAGAACGCGACACATCCCCGTCACACCTTGAGTCCGGTGGGAACAACAATGCCAGTGGCATTGGCGGACTGGCCGACTCCAAATCACATCTCCACTCCCCCAATGACAGTCAGCTGGAGTATTCCCAGTACGGCCAGTACAACCAGGGCGGCGGGAACTTCCAAAATAATGGCCTCTCTGCACCAGCGCCCACGGCCAACAGTTCGTCAGTGTCGTCGGCCAGTAGCGGTGATTTTCGAAGGCCGCTGACAGTCATATTCTGACCGCCCTCCGAGGAATGTGAAGAACTGAATCTGTCCATCACACATTGAAGCAACCACACTTGCATCTACGCCAAGACCAAGTACAAAGCCGATTTCATAATTAAGGATACAGCGACGGACAGTGACGTGTCTGTGAGAAGAAGCGAGAGTCCCCTTTGCACTCTCCCTCTCTGTACATCGACAAGAATTGACTTAGATGAACATTTTTACAACGATCAGAGCGAAATCAAATCACACAATACATACAAACAAATGTATTAACTCGCAAAGCTGAGATTACCATACCCCTCACTCACCGCACGCACACACACACACACATAGAACCACAATCAATGTAGGAACATATATTTGTACTATTTTAATTGTACTCCATCGACATACATACATACGTACATAACTAGCATTTAAGTTGTAAGCAAAATGTCACACTCATGCACCCAACCCAGTCCAGTCCAGTCCAGTCCACGAAACTACACTGGAAACGCACACCCCGACAACAAATGTACTTCGAGCATGTACTTCTAATAGCGTAGACTTCTAGGCAAATTGTAGATTATTAATTATGAACTAATTTATTTGTATGTAGGTGTATGCATACTAATGTATATATATAAGTAAGACACTGGAACATATGTTTTCACTGTTACTCCATTGCATAGGTCCCAACACACGATGTGTAAATAAAGAACGTATTCATTTCATATTTTGCAAAAGAAAAGGGTCTGTTCTTTTATTTCTCCATTAGGATGTAAGTTGGTTTCGATAACCGGTCGAAAGAATTCGTTGCAACCCAAGACACGAACCCAAAATGGTCAACTCCGCCATACCCAACATTGGTAAAGTAACGGGGGTTGGATTCTACCACAGACAGAGCCAGAGTGTGTTGTAATCAGCGTTCGAAAATAAACAGTACACTAACATAGTGTACAGTACCGGTACAGTATCACTAAAAAAATTTGTAGCGGTAGTGTTCCGGTACACTACCACTACAGTACAGTACGATTCTCGTTGTGCTCCGGTTTAGTATCACTAAAATATTTTTTAATGGTTGTGCTCCGGTACGGTACATTATCTTAGTGTACCACTCCACCTCGGAACGGTACAGAACACGGTACAATACCATACTGTTAATTTTCGAACGTAGTGTACCACATGGCGGAACACTAAAAAAATAATGTACCGGCATTGTACCACATATGTTTTGTTTACGATTTGTGAGAAAAATTAGATGTTTTTGATAATGCAAAAATTATTAATACAATTCAATATTATGAAAATAAAAGCGGAATTTATTGTATTTGTCATGTATGCTTAGATTGGTTGCAAAATTGAAGAAAGTAGGAAAATATGGGAATGGGTAGAAAGAATAAAAAAGGACAAAATCTAAAGTGATAACAATTTGTATTTAACCAGTGAAAATTGAAATTTTTAATTTTCCGCGAAAAGGGGTATTTTAGTGGTTGCATTGTAATGGGTTATTATGCAAATAATTTACCTATTGTACTAGTAGTTGTAAAAAACTAAGTATTTTACAAAGTATGGCTGAGTGTTTAAAATCAGTTTTATGATTTCGATTTTTTTAATGTGGCACACTACGATTTTTTAATGCTCCGATTGCAAAACACTACGTTTTTTTAGTGTTCCGACTCCGGTACACTACGATTTTACTGTTTATTTTCGAACGCTGCTAGTAAACAGTTCAGACCAAAAATTGACCTCTTGGTGGTGGGCTACGTTGGTGGATTCAGCGTAAAGTGTATTATTCCGAAAATGGGGAAAACAAATAGCATCAAGCTTATTGTAAGACAAGTTGTTTGTATTTCTAGCCCGGTCAAATGTATCGATTTGGCTTAAAATGTGTGTTTAGGCTAATTTGGGGTTAGAGAACCATCTTACATGGGGCTATTATAAACAGTTGCTTTAAACTTTTTAATATATGTATTATTTGGGTTTTAACCTCTCAAATTAAAACCTCTGGCTGAAAAATGGGATCAGGGTTTTTTGAAACACTATAGATCGCCCGGTACATGAACCTGTAAAATTGTGCCACATATGTGAGCCAGATCTTTGAATTATTATACTTTAAAAACTATGCATTAAAGACTAAAACTACGGGCCGGCAACGCAGACCGGGCCATATATAATCGCATAATCGATATAGCATGTTATGCCGATCAAGAATATTCATACATATATTTCTTTTTGTGAGTTCTAAAATTCATATTTCGAAGTATAACAAACGGGATGAAAAGACACGTTTTGGCGAAAACTATGACATGGTTTTCAAAAGGTAATAAGTAAGCCCAAGCACGAACACAAAATAATCAACTCCACCATACCCAAATTTGGTAAAATAACGAGGGGTTGGACTCTACCACCGACATAGCCAGAATGTCTTGTGACACCTCTCTAGTAAACTGCTCAGAAATATAAAAAAATGTCTATAATGTGGCCGGGGGCTACGTTAATGGGTTCAGTGTAAAGAGCATTATTCCGAAAATGGGAAAAAACAAGCTTCAAGCTAATTCTAAAAAAAAAGTTGTTTGGATTTGTGGCCCGGTCAAAATTATGCATTACAGCGTTACCTTAAATTCGACTTAGTAGTGTACACAAACATTTACCTTCGCCACTGTGGTAAAATGTTTTGTTCGCCCGTATTGCCCAAATACGGGAGATCCATATCTTTAAATCTACCCATTAATTGATCATTTTCAGAATTCTCCAATTGGTATATTTACTAATTAGAAACATTGAAATTATTTGTATAAATCATTTCTAATATCAACACAAAAACAATTCGTCCAATTGTCAATGTTGAAAATTTTCAACTGAAAAATTTTGTACGTCCGACGTATTTGGGTAACATCAATAAATACATGTGTTTCACTTGTGTAGTGAAATGCGTCGAATTTTAGGTAACGCTATTACAATCAAAGCCATTAGCAATGTGGTGGACAAGTCAAGACACAAACCCAAAATTAGTACATTCCACCATCCCCAACTATGGTAAGATAACTGGGGTTGGAATCTGCGCAAAATGTACTCTTCCGACTGTTGATAAGCTTTGGCGAAAAGCATCACCTATCTTTAAAAAGATAAAACATCCGGAGTTGATGTTTTGTAGAAAGTAATAAAATGTGTAAATTCCCAGCAAACAAACTGGTTACAAATCGAACAACCAAACCGGTTTCAACAAGGGTGACCATAGATGGTCTGTCAGAAATTGTGACGTATATTACAATAGTCGTAAACCTAGGTTAATAACAGAGGGCTGCAACGAGTATGCAAAAATTCAAGCACACTCGGTTTCTTACATGATTTTTGTTGATGCAGTCGTTTAGTTTGATCTGAATGAAATGACCGTTTTCGCTTCTGATCGAATCGAACGCTCAGTTTGAATCACTTCATTCACAATCAAACATGAGCGTTCGAGACGGTTTGATGTGATCAGCAACATGAGTTGATCAAACACATGAATGTAAATGAGCAATCACAACCCTGATTGTCTTCTTTGAATCGAGTTCGCTCAGCGTCATTGTTTATTCAACCATTTAATCAAGTTGGGACAGTTTATTTTGACTTTTTTAATATTTGAAATGGAAGAATATTGCGATAGTGCGACCGAAATTGTTGCAAGTAGAAACTACACAGGTGTAGGTAAACGAAAAGGTCGAAGTTTGTGAAAAATCTTGACCAATATTGTAAAATAAAAAATATTTAAACATTTTTAGTTTTCTTTATTAAAAAATTTAATTTTGTTTTTTTTTTTTTTTTTTCAAATAAGTTACTGAAGTCTAGCATACCAAAAACCCAAATAAAATGAAAAATTGTATGCTTTTTAAATATAATTTGTACCAATTTCTTTAATGGGGACATCTTTTAGTTATGAAATCCTTAGTAAAATTACAATCATGATTTCGCTCAAATTCGAACATTTGTGTTTTAATCAAATCAAATCACTCACTTAACTAGGATAAATCAAACCGATCAGACTCATCATAGATGATCGACCCGTTATGAACAATTCAACATAAGTTCGTAAACAAATAACTCATGTGAGCTGTTTGATTGCGATCACAAAACTTCGATCAATACATGTTTGATCACAACTTTTTCGTTTGGCTGAGTAACTCGAATGAACATGTTGCATCTGACCGACTGATTGAGTTTGATTGTATTTCCACTGTGATCAAGCCTACTCAATCATACTCATTGCAGCCCTCTGGTAAATAATAAGAGTTTTTGACAGGAACAAGGTTGTTGATGTTTGTCAAGCTTATTATAATTATCGATTTTATTACCTGAGAAATCGTTCCATACATTTCATAAACAGCAGCCTTCTGTTTCGTTACAGGGAGTAAAGCAACGAATGACCATTTGGCAACAACAAAACATGGGTGCTCAACTCTTGTTCTATGAAAAGCTGACATGAAAACTTTAATAAAGGCTACAAATGTGAAAGGAAATATTTTACAAAGGAAAAAATGTTCATTTCATATTTTCGTAGAACAAAAATGCAGCCTCAGGTTTTAAACTCTCTCTAATATAACTTTGAAAGATTTTGACGATTTATGCAAGAAAACTATCCAACTATAGAGAAATTTGGCACAGATCAGTCTTTTGTCTGTGGGCATGTCAAATTCGAAGATGGGCTATATCGGTCCACGATATCGTATAGCCCCCATGAGTACTTTACGCTCTGGAAGATTATTGTCTATATAGGCACCCAAAATATTGAATAGCTCCCATACAACGGTACCCCCCAATATTTGGTACTTTAATGATTTTGGCCACATTTTCCAATGGAATTGCCAGAAAATCCACACAAGAAGTTCTTTCTGAGTACTTTACCCTTTGAAAGAGAATTGTTTATATGGATCTACGATATCGTAAAGCCCCCAACAACGGAACCCCCCGATATTCGGTATTTTGATGATTTTAGCCGCATTTTCCAATGGAATTGTCTAAAAATCCATACTAGAAGTTCGTTCCAAGCTCTTTACTCCCCGGAACAAAAATATCTATATCTATCGTATTGCCCACATACAACGGTACCCCCCGATATTCGATATTTGACGATTTTAGGAACGTTACTCATCGGAGTTGTTTCAAATTGCGTACCTAGAATAAGTTGCCAGACTGCTCGTACAACATCCCGGCTGCGTCCATTTACATTAATTGAACATTAAGGGAAGCCGTGTTTACACTTCGCGCTATTTACGCCATTTAAAAAGGCAAAGAAACAAAGCACTCGTATTTACACGACTTGTAAGCGTGGAATTCAACCAAAAGAAAAAGGTTGAAATAAGCGGTAGTTGTATTTTTGATTTGTGCGGGCAGAACATTTAACTAGCATTACCATCCTCGGTGTCAAAGGGAAGAAGGAAATAATCAGTGAATGTCTAGAATAAGACGAGTGGAACAAGAAATTAATAAGCCTGGCAATGCTACCAAATCCATTATTTAAGTAAATACCTCTTTCATGGAAAGATAGAAGTTTTTGGTGGATGTCGCCGATAAAAGAAATCAAAGACATACACCAAAAGCCCAAAACCAAAGCAAGGATATATATGCTTTGTTCCAGAAACTCCGGGAGTCTACTAGCTTTGACATTTTTTTTCGATATCATAAAGGGAATATCGGTTATCGTCGTAAATTTAACATTTTTAACATTCTTGCAGTCCTGGAATAGACTAATAATAAAATTG